CCAAGAGTGGACCTATGAGAAATTAAAGTAACTTTATTTATGGCCACAGCAATCCTGGAAGAGCAAGCCTGCCATTGATGGAGCCAGCAACTTGCTCAATGACCCTTCAAGCTAACCCACATCCAAGATCATTTTCTATGGAATGGAGAGGGTTGTTTCATACAGCTGGTTGGAGAGAGGAGTATGTCTGTGACTACTATCCATAGCAAAAAAAAAAATCTCATTTTCAGTCTTTTCTACAGCTGACTGTCTGTAAACCTCGTGAGTTCAGGAGCAACCAGATGAGTCCATGGAAAACAATTCTACAGAGAGCTATGAAATACAAATAGAAAGATATCACCCTGACCCCAGAAATCACCCATGAAGATTGTTATAGAGGCTTCAGGGGAAATGAGATGGGAAAGAGAGGATACATACAGGTAGCTGGAAATGTCTGGGTGGGTAAAATTCACCACACTTTTGGAGTAACCTGCAAAAGAGGGGACAGCGTGTTAACCTTTGTTAATAGAGAGGTGTCAAAAGTGTGCATTCCTCTTCCCTGCATCTCACCCTTAATTGACTTTTGTTCCCAGTCCTGGTATGCTCCAGTGGCCTCTGATGTGGTTCATAGAGGGGTGAGAGAGAGCCTGGGATGTCTGCAGATAGGAGACACCAAAATATGGCAACAATTCCAGGTATTATTCTGAAATCATGCAGAATTTCACCAGCCAGCTCTGTCTGCCATCTACTCTGTCAGGCCCCAGAAAACTGCCTTGATCCTCAGTGTTTGTGTGGGAGGGCAGACAGAAAAGAGATTAAATGCTCCTTTTGCAATGTCTTTCAAGCATCAAAGCCATCTCTGCTGACCAAGTAAGTGCACTTTAGTGACTGTATCATCTGCCCAGTGACATTACCACTGGTTTGCAGTTAGATAACACTTCTCAGAAAGGGAAATTTAATCTATTTTTCTGAGTAACTGGAGCAAAACATACAAACAGGGAACTTTTGCAAGGCCAGAGTTTGTTTTTACTTATGACATCCTTTAAAACAAAGGTTAACCTTCTGTTCAGATAATTCCTTGTAGGGCTAAGGTTCAAAACTGAAAGTAGCAGAAATGTGTAGCAGGAGATGTGACTGGGAATCGTGTAGCAAGTTGGAGACTATGATAAATCTGAATTCTTAAGAGAACATATGAGGGCTGGGGTGCTGCTATTTTGGGTTAGTTTCTCACTTCATTAATTTTTTATATTACTTACTATTGCAGTTGAATGGTTTGTAGTTTATTCTTTGTTTAAAAAAACCCAAACTTTTTAGGTTGGAGAGAGATAGGAGAGAATGATGAATGCAGCCTAGGAGGCAGTACCAAACTCCTCCCTTCTCAGAGGTACATGTCTGCTGAGCCACTTGAGCTGGTTTGGGATTTTTCCCCTTTAGTAACTCTGCCCAGGGTCTGTCCAATGAAGCAGGACCATGAACTAAAACCTGAGCTTGTTGGAGCAGGGGCATTCTCTGCAGAATACATACACTGCTTCATACACTGCAGCAAAACTGGAGCTGGTGCCCCTTGAGTGCTTTGGGTCCTGTGTTTGTGGATTTAACTTCATTTTCTGCTGCAGGCCTCCTGGTATGTAAGAGAGCAAATTCAAGCTTGTCGCTGTGTTCAGTGAGGCAGCAAACTTGTGGGGGGAAATTCCCCTCCTGTAGTTCATGGTGTTCTTCTAAACTATTTATAAATAGGTCTGCTGCAGCCAGTGTTTGCATTTGGAGAGCCTCACTGTTCTCATTTTCAAGGCTTCTCTCAGATCTGAAAGTAAAGGTCAGGTTGACTCCCCTTATTTGAAATAGAGAGGAAGAAAGTTAACCCTGTAAGCAGGTGGCTCTAATGCAGTAGTTCTCAGGAAAATGAGTACATCTTCCCCTCCCTTTGGCTCCATTTTAATTTCTCTGCCCTTTTCATTAGCTGATGACAATTCTAACTTCCTGCATCCTTTTAAAGAGATCCTCCTGTAAATCATCATCTGGGATTCATGATTTGCAGAGATCTGGTAAGCAGCACAAATCACACGCTTCTGGCCACACTTGCCAGAAGCCCTGGATAAGTTTTCAGCTGAGTTTATGCTTCACCTCCCTCCACTCTACAGAACAATAACACATAGGCCCATTTTCCCCAAAAAAACTTGTACCAAAACCCAAAAATCCACTTCGTGGAGGATTATTTTATGCAGATTGAGAGGTGTTTGGAGATGACAGGCATCTAATCTCATCTTAAGCCTTAAATTGCTGTAAATCCTGTATTGGTTTACTTTTAACTTCAACCAAATAAGATATTATCCTGCCTCAGAGTTAACACTTTCCAAGCTTGCCTCAGCTGGGTGTTGCACACCAAAGGCATTATTATCTGCCACCACTGGACAAGGCACTGCACAGAGCCACCAATTCAGGTGTGACACAGCTAAAACACTGAACAGGATTATGTGGCTCATAAGGAACTACATGCATGTAACAACCATTTTGCTTCTGTATGGGGCCCTTGAAGGGCAGGTAAAATACTGAAAAAACCTGGGATGTGCTGTGTTGTGTGTATGGGCAAAGGATGTGAGGTCTCATAAGCTTCCAGATGTAGATATCCAAAGGCTCCACTAAGGGTGTCAGTGGATATTTACTTCAGTGAGGACCTCAGTGGAGGTCACAGCCTATGTCTGAATGATGAAAACAAGAATGAGGGTGTGAAAAAAATTTACTTCTGAAATGTGAAACACTTTTTTTTTATTTCTTTTCTGTTAATATTCAAGAGCTCCTTACCCTCCTTTATCTTAGGAGCTGTCTTAGTAGTCTCCTTCAGAATAGATTATCTTTGACTCAAGTGGTACATTTATTTTGGGATGGATTGCTAATAAATAGAGTTTTCTAGGTGTTCTGACTGCAGGGAATGTAATTGGAAGGCAGGTACATTATGAACCTAACCAAAGAAGACTTACAAGACTAAATATTGTTTTATTGCCTATTTAAGACTTTGAAATGAAATGTTTGTATAAAAGAAGGTGCATTATCCCAAGACAGTGGTTTTATTTGTGCTATTACTTAGCAGAATGTTACAAACACCCAAGAGGCCTCTGTAAACTTTCTGACTGAGCTGTGAATTGAGGCCAAGGTGAATGTCATGGTTTGACACTGGCCAAATGCCAGGCACTCACGAGAGTCCTTCCCTTACCTCCTTCTGCTAGTTGGGCAGAGAAGAGGGGGGAAAAAAAAATAAATGAAGGGTCGAGATGAGGACTGGGAGAAAAAACACTCTAGGAGAAAAACAGGTTTAAATTGAAAGGTATACAGTACATTTATTATTAACAGAGTCAGAGGAGGATAATGAGAAGTGAAATAAGTCCTTAAACCACCTTTTTTTCCCTCCAGCCCCTCCCTCCTTCCCAGCAACAGGGCAGGAAGACAGGGCATGGGAGTTTTGGTCAGTTTGTCACTCAATATCTTTTTCTCTTCATTCAAGGAGAGGAGTTTTTTTTCTCTGCTATGTTGTGAGTCCCTCCCACGGGCAAACAGCCTTCCCAAAGCTGCTCTGGTGTGGGTCACTCGTCCCTGGGGTGCAGTCCTTGAAGGGTAGGCTGCTCTGGTTTGGGAGCAAGGACCCTCTCTCTATCTCTGGCAGCAGGGCCCTCTGTCTATTCAGGTCTCACACTGGATCACAGATTTCTCTGGCATCCACCCACTGTGGTGTGAGCAATTTGCCCATGGGCTGTGAGTGGATCTGCACACCCCTGCGGGCTCCATGAATTCCAAGGTGCAGTTTGTTTAACCTTGCTCCTCACCATGGCTTGCAGGGGCAGCCAGGCAGGCAGAGCTCACTGTAAGATGGGTTTGGCCTTGGCAGTGCATTGCTGTGCTCCATGCCAGGGATGGCCCTGGCAGTGGGGCTTCACCACTCCTGGAAAAAACAATGTTTTGATTTTCTTCTTAAATGTAATTACAGAGGCATTACCAACCTCTCTAAGTGGCCAGCAGCATGTCCATCTTCAGAGCCATCAGAGATTGCCTCTGTTGGACATGGTGGAAGCTTCCAGCAGCTTCTCACAGAACCTACCCCTGTGGCCCTCTCCCCGCTACCAAAAAATCAGGCAGTGCCAAATCAATGCAGAGAATTTCTCCCAGTGAGACCCAATCACTGGGTAAAGATGTTCCTCTTAAGGAGGTGTCCTAGCCAAAATGGCTAGAAGTTATTCTGATCAATAACATAGCTACTCTATATGCATTTTTGTGGATGTGTGAGGTTTTTACCCACTAGTAACATGTACAGGTATAATTTCTTTCAGCACAGAAGCACTAAATAATTAATTAATTACCACCATTCTCCCTGGCCGTGTTCAGCTGCTGCTTGTGAGCATCCCATAGGCTCTGAGGGATGGTTTCTGTGCAGGCAGGGGCTGTTATACTGGCAAGCAAGTGTTCACCACTGTTTAGAAATCTCATTTTCTCTGCTGGTATGTGAAAAATTGCATGGCATTCTTGTCACAAAATTCCTTTTCTAGTTTTCCTGTGCTTTGCGCTTTCACAATTCTCTTTGGCACAGCAATTATTATTGTACCAGCTGCAATGCTTGCAAAAGGTAATAATGAAACCTTGCAGGCATCTTGTGAAATGCCAACACTGGTGAGTATGGGCCCAACCAGAGCTTTTATTACAGATTTTGCTAATTCATTTGGGCATGCATGTGAAGGCTTTGATGTCATTTACCTCACATGCTATATCTAAGTGAATTGCCATAATTATTTACCTTTGAACCATATTTTTTTATCTAGAAAAATGTAGTTTGTGGCTGGTGTTTTGGGATGAACTTCTGCTCAGTGTGTTCTTTGAACGGCTTGACACCTCAGTTGAATGACAGGTTTTAGTTTTGTGCATCACAGAAAGAAAGCAAACTTATAAAACACTTAATGAGAACTAGCTCTGCATTTCAACAACTGTTTTAATTATTACCAAATTATTTGTTTTACTATATTTGATTTCAAATTTAATTTTTTGTAACTCTGTTTAAAGTATAGAGACTGGTTATAGTTATAGGTTTACATATTTTTTTATTCATGGACACCTTAAAAATTGAATTTGCTTTTGTATTTCTTCCACTTATATTGATAAAATATCATACACTAAGTAATTCCTATACCCATTACATATGATTTGTCATCCTTACTTCCTCAGGCTATTTTCAACTTTAGGCCACTGCTAATCCATGACCTTAGTGTTTTTGTCTCCAGGTTTGAATTATATAAGTATTGTGGAACAAGGATTGAAATTAACTACTCTTGACTTTATTGTAAAATAACAGTCAGCTGATTAGCTTTTCTATTTCCACTAACTTGAATAATAGTGCAAATTTAATTAATTTTTAAAAAATTAATAATTATTTAATTTTTTTTTCAATGTGGGAAGGCCTTTTATGAAATATTTTCAAAAGGAAAGTGGAAATTAAAGAAAATAGCGATGGTCTGTGTTTCTGGGTATCTAGAATTGCTGCCAAGCACACAGAAAGACAACTGAAGCAGGAATGTACCCTGCATTCTGCAGTGCCCACTGCAATGGCAATTGAATAAAATCTGCTGAGACAAAAAAGAAAAAAACAAAAAGCACTTTGGTCACAGAGCTGAAATGGAAAAGCAGCAGCTGTTAAAAGGAACCTTTTGTAGTGTGTCTCCTCAAACTCTGTGTCCTTCCATGAGACTCAAAAGCAGAACACCTGCAGAATGTCAGGTTTCCTTTAGGATGCAGGAGAGCAGCATCACATGGCATGGCCATGTCTCCAACAGGCTGGGCAGTTTGCTGCTGCTCCTGTTCCAGCCAAGCGGGTTGATTCTCACTTGAAATGCTATCTTAAAGCTGCTTTTGTTCAATTGCTTACTCTCCTGAAAGGTTATAACCAAATGGCCATACTTCAGGAATAATTTGTCTCCCTTGTATGGTACTGGTTTCCAAGTGGCATGTAAATAAGGGGTCACATTTTCCAAAGAGAGAGCTTGCCCCACCATCAGTGCTGTGAGAAATCTGCTTCGCAGCTCCATGGCTGAATTTAGGGGGAAGCATTGCTGACAGGCTGAGTCAGTGGCCCAAATTCTTCTCCCTTTATCCATATAACCACATGAAAATTGTTTCTCCTATCCACAGAATGTGCATGAATAATTTGCTTGGCATGGAACTGGAGCTAACTAGCACAATAAATGCTTTTGTAAGCTCCATATGTCCCTTGCCTTGGAGCTTTTCAGATGACACAAAACCCTGGTACTGTGACTAAAATGAGAAAAGCCTGGGCAATGACTTCAGAAGCAATTGGGAGTGACCTAAAGCTCATAACGGATTCTTGGCTTCAATGGTATTGACTCGGGTCCATCAGACTTACAAGTTACATCCAGACCTTATTGGGATCCTGGAATGACCCCTGCAGTCTGCAGAGATGAGTTTTTGAACCCCGCAAGGGGGTCCAAATTTCCAAACTCCAGAAACACCAGACTCTTTAACTGTACTTTTTGAAATAAGTTCAAGAAATGAGTGCACACACGTTGCCTATCCCTCTCCTTCTCTTTGCACTCAACATTTTTGGTGTAGGAGAGTTCAGTAACGGAAGTGTAAACCTTCTGTTTACATCTATAAACAAGATAAGGTACAAATTGCTGCAATACAAACTTCCTTGCTCTGGCCCTCCGCTGACCTCAGCTATAAATGACAAGGACCCCTCTTTCTCACAGTTGCAGGAGTCTCCAGTCTCTGGGGCAAAGTTTAAACCAGCAAATGTGCTTACAGAATCTTCTGTGTGAATTTTTCTGACTGCTGTGCTGGTCACACGCTGCTCAGGGTCAGGGGCTCATGCCTGTGCCATGAGGGACAAATGCAGCTGGACCTACATTTGGAGGGTGCCCCAGACACCTCCAGCTGCTGGGTGAGCCTAGGTGCATCTGCACACATTTCCTGAAGTCAAGGAGCAAGCTACAAGCACTTTTGCTGAAGGGCTTGGATAGAGAAAGCCACATTGTACCACATTTTAGACCTACAGGAAACACCCATGTCACTGTATCTCACGCTTCAAGCCTTCTCCTGGAAGCTGAGTCAAATAAATTGGTTGCAAAATATCCAAGATTTTGCCAAGTAAACACAAGAATAATTAGATTTAAAAGCTACTCATGCATTGTCTTATTTTTGTAGATTTCAATGGGTGCAGAAAGAAGAGCTGCCAGTAACACAAAAGCTGTTCTAGGCACGAGAATCAAATTCCACGGTGACCAGGACAGATGACACATGGCCTGAGGGAATGACACAACAAGAGGGCTGGAGCATGAGAAAAATCTAATGGAGTGGGGCAGAAAAGGGAACTTCTGCACCTGACAGCTGTAACTATATTTCCACACCCTGAGAGATGTCACAGCCAATGGCAGTCACACACACAAATCATTGAGACTATGGTGAGTATTCCTAATTGGAATTGTTAATTTGGGATTTCCACAGCCATGTCTGTCTGGGTGGTGGAAGTGGAAACTAAACCATCGTGTGTGGTACCGACATCAGACTACAGAGCAGTGCAAGGCTGGGCTTTTGAACACCAGCACTGCATTTGCACAGGGGTGGGAGTTACATTGATGTTTGTGTGTCCCCTGGCAGGACTTGTGTCCCTCTCCTCCTGGAGCAGCTCAGCAGAGGAGCACAAGGACATCACTTCTGGCATGGGTCACCCAACTGCAGATTCCTGGAAGATGGACTGGTGCTCAGGCAAGGCCCTGCAAGCTTTCCTTGTTCCTGCCCCGTCACCACTGAGCACTCACCATTGATGCGCCCTGGAGAGAGTGTAAGTTGGCTCAGAGGATCAGATCAGTAGTTCTTGTGTGTTTAAGCAGTGCAGAAACTCCTCTTTTCCTTGTGCTGTGCAGTGGATTGCAGGAGAGTGACTTAGGGAGGAGTGCAAGAGGGAAGGGCCACGGGGATGTTCTTGGTCACCGCTGTTAATGATGCTGCAGAGGTGGTGACAATGGATCCCTCACAATGCTTTCAGCAGAAGCATGTCAGCTTCTGAAAAGTGCCAGCTCCTGGCCCAGAGGCCTGTTTTCTATACATAATGGTATTCAAAAAAAATTAATGCAATTAGATACTGCTGCCTTAAACCACATGGTTTTGTATATGTATAACCAGGGCTGCAAAGTTCTATTCTCACTGTTCAGAGGAGTTAACTGATGCACAGAATCAAACAGGATAATGTGTCTGCTTTAATGTGCCCACTTCTACTTGTGTGTGGGGGAAGTTGCTCTTTTGGCTCTCCTTGTGTTTCACAAGCTATGAGAGGTCTAGGAGTCTCAGCCATGGGCAAGCATCTCTCTGTCCTGCTGTAGAAGGAACACAAAATTTGTTGGTGGATGAAATGGCTCAGATTTTGACAATTCTCTGTTTTGACTATGGGCTTTGTGCTACAAAGAACCATGTGCTGGAACCTCCTATGAAAACAGCAGAGAGAAAGAATGCTGCTGGTGTGTATGAGATTTCTCCTCCCTTCAACAAATGCTATTCTTAGCTGGCTGGCTGGTGTGGAGTAACGCATTAACTGAGTGTGATAAGGCAGGGGAATGCCGATACTGGCCCCATTTTCAGCCCTGTGTTTGCTCTGCCATTAGACAATGGGGTCTTGGTCCCCTGGGAGGCCCTGACGTGTCAAAACAATGTCAGTTAAGTCAACAAATATCCTTGTGTTACAGTCATTTCCAAATCGTGCTTTGTCCTTTTAAAAATTCTGAATGGAAAGGTTAGGGATATTTAAGAATTAAGGTGATAAAATATGGGGAGACAACATGGATACAGCTGGCTTACAAACATGAGCCTGATTCCCATCACCAGCATTTGTTAATGTTATTTATGTTGCAATGCATATAAGAAAGTTGAAAGGTCTGAAAAACACGACATGTATATCTCAGCATCCATGTGTGGGGTAGGAAATTACCCCCTTAGCAGAGCTGCCACACCTCCAGACATACAAGGTGTGCTGCCCACATGCACATCTCCTCAGGTCTGCCATGCACCTGTAGGTGATGAGGAGCTCCAGCAGGGCCACAGTTCTCAGGAAGGTCCAAATCCTTTAGATAATTTTTGGTAATACTTCTGGCTGGGAAAGAAATGTCATGTCTTCACACTGGGTATATGGGAGCTCAATTCGTGGTGTCATTGAATTCAGATATTATGGGTAATAGTGCTATAATCCTTACTGTCAAATGATCACACCTGGATTTAGAAGCAAGTTGCATGTATTAAAGCAACAGAGATTACTGACAGGTTGTTTATTCCTACTGGCATCCTTATGGCTCCTGTCCCAGTTTATCCCTCCTTGCATGCAAAAGACATACAAAAGGCTCAGTTGAAAAGTTTTGGGAATTTTGAGGGCTGCTCTTATGTGCTTAGAGGTGACAAAATTAGCTCCTTAATTCATTGGCTGAAAACAGATTAAAAGTAACACCTACTTGTGCTATGAATAATTCGTCAGTGAAAGAAAGTGCTGCAGGATAGCATTTGGGATGAAAACTGCACAACAGTAGTCTCACAAGTCAATTTGCCACCTATAAAGGAAGGGATTTCTGTTGGCTGTCCTCTCTTCAGGAAAAAAACCTACTCCTCTTAACATTGTCTGCATTTGGAAACAGCCTACATTTTAGGTAATTAAAACTGATGTTCCTGACAAACATTCGCCTCCAAAGAAATGGTCTATTGTAAACGTAAACTCTCAAGATCCTTCCAGGCATACCAGCAGACTGTCTCCTAAAAATTCTTCCCAAGCCATCTGGTGCCTTATCTCTGTAGCCAAGCCATACAATAACTTTAAAAGAGGATTGTTGCTCGCAGGGTTTAGTCTCAGGACTACAGATTCTCTTGGAAGTATCCCAGTTCACTCTGAACCCCTTAGACAGGCAGCTCTGGTTGTGTGAATTCTCCCCTACTTTTAATCAAGACCCAAAATGTGCAGCTGTGGTTCTCTGGGACATCCCCTCTTCCTGTGGTTTGCAAAGGGAATGAAGGAGTTACAGGGAGAAGCTGGAGATTTCCAAACAGGGATTTACACTCCATTAATTCTCTCTCCAGCATCCCAGCCAGAGTGGCATGACATGAATGTGCTTAAGAAGGCTGCAGCCAATTCACATCATTCTTGTAAGCTCTCCTCGCACCTGTGAGGGGAAAGGATGGATTCCAGGTTTGCTCCTAGACAACCTTTGCCATCAAAAAAAAAAAAGTATTTTGTGAGTGAGAAAGCATGAAGGCATAGAGCAGAGGTGGCTGTTGGAAACAGCTGGGAAGAAAAAGACAATTTTGTTTCAGCTTTGCAGATCACCCAAAGTTTGCTCTCCCTGAGTCCTGCTACTTTTGTGCCTGCTTTTTAACATCTCACCTAAACTCCATCTTCTAAGAAACTGAATTCTTAGTGTTAAGTCTCCTATTTTGGTTGCAAAAGCAGAGCTGACTGAAGTTAAGCAGCAAAGCCAAGGCTGCAGGTATCTGACAACAAAGCAGTAGCTCAGGCACAAACCAGAGTGAGGGATCCTGTGTTAGGTGTGCCCAGCTGCCCAGGCAGCGACAGCCATCGTGAGAAACAGCGCAGCTGAAAATAGAATTTGTTCACCACTGCTTCATCCACGGCAAACACAGCGTAGTTGGGGAGAGACCAAATCCCTTTTTGGATTTTTATGCTGTGTTTATAAGCTGAATCTTCCACACTAAGCATTTCTGGTCTCTTTCTTATCAATGCTGCTTTCAGAGGAGAGGAGGAAACTGGGTGCAAGGGTATAGGAGCACCTATAAGAAGAAAGCTGTTTCCTCAACATATCCTGCAAGTTGGGGTCAATGGCTGTGGTCTGTTGCACATTCTGGCTGTGGTAATGATGTGGTACCAGCAGTGCTACAAAGTGATGGGCTGCCATTAGATTATCTTCTCTCTCCCTGTGCCCATCTGTTCTGGGAACCCTCAGCTATCTGAGAAGAATTTTAAAACATCCCAGTTTTGGTACTGCAACTAAGCAAGCACAGACATTTTTGTAAGTTAAAAACAAAATGGGTTTTTCAAGCTGTTGCATCTTGGTAAAGAAATAGTGGATGTTATATATGCTTGTCAGGTGGATATTAATGAGCAAGATGTGATGCTATAAAATAGCTCCTGGAAATGACAGAGATTCATTCTGCACTTCTCTAAGCCAGTGGAAGTTTTGATGATGAGTTTTGACAGGCACTGGATTAGGCCTAAAACATTCCCAGCTTTTTGGCCATTGACAATTTTTTTGACAGTTTTACAACCAGTAGAGACTTCCTACCACAATACAAATGCAACAACACAGTAAAGACTTCCCCCAGGGAGACGTCTTTGCTTTTAGCTGGGTACCTCGTTACACCCCAAGGGAAATCAAATACTGTAGGGAAAAAGAACTTGATATCTGTAATGTTGCTTAGCTTTTTCCCTGCTCTACTGGATGTTTGTATTTTGTTATATCTGGAGAAAATCTACTATTTGGGAAAAGAATGAAAACAACCCTCCTAAAATAAGAGTTTTACAGTTTAATGATCCCTGCACTGAAATATTACATTATACACTTAGACTGCATACAAGATGGAGAGGGAGGGTGGAACTACCATGAGGTCAGAGCTCCATGACCCAATGTTCTTTGCCAAATCAATCATCTCAGTCTTCTTTTCATAAGGTGATGGTGACACCTCACAGAGCTGTTATGATAATTTGTTTATATAACAAAAGTAATGGCTCGAGGGATAAAGCTTTTTGTACCTGTATAATTTCCAACATTCCCAGGTTGCCTTTTGGTGTGGGATTACAGAACATCTGCTCTAGTTAGTCCTCCTAGTATTGCTGTTAATGTTTTGGCAAAGGCACCTGAAACATAGCATAGATGCATAAGTACATAATATCAAAAGTCATGCAGAATGTATACAAAAGATAAACTAATATAATGTTTAGCTTTATGTGGCTTAATTTGCACAAAAATGGGAAGATTCAAAATTGAGTGTTTCTTAGCTACTTTTGGACCCCTCCCAGGTTTACCTGTAGTAAAGAGGGAGATGGGATCTACAACTGCTTATTAGGCCAAAGGAACAGCCAGGCTGCAGTGAGACACAGAAGCTGGGCTACCCTGAGCACTTTCCATGTGGCAGATAAGAGGTGTAAGGGAAAGGAGCAGTGTGTGAACAGTCAGCAGCAATGCTGGGAGCAGGGGAGGGGCAAGCTGGAACCAGCAGTTTCAAGTGGAGAGCCTCAAGGGATCATTATGTCCATCCGTGCTGACCTGAAGATGAAAATCCCACACGTTTGCAGTGTCTACGTGGGCTTTGCTGTTCCTCCCACCCAGTCCCTAGTTCCTACTCATGTATCTGTTTTCCAGGGTCAAACTGTTTCTGAAGGCAAGCTGAAGGCCAGTTTCCCTGCATGAGTGGAGCAGTGGAACAGGCTTGTTTGTGTTCCCTCCTTCACCTTCTGTTCCCAAATGGTGATTCCCCACCAGGCAAAGAGCAGGGATGGTATCTGCAAGGACAAGGCTACACTGTATTTCCACTGTGCCCCACCTTGCACCTGTGTGCAGAGCATGGATGGCTCCCACAGAACACAGCTCCTGCTGCAATGCACTGGCTGGGAAGATGTTTGAGTTGCACGGTTTGACCCAGGACCAAAATGAAGGATGTTTGGGTATTATTGCCCTGGGTAACCTCGAATTATTTACCTCAGTGTGCACATCGCAGTGTTCAGGGGAGTGGGATGGCACTGATGGCTCTGCAGCATCCTGGCACATCGTGTCACATCTCCCTCAGCCACTGGCCCTAAAATGGGGACCAGGATATGGGCCCACAGAGGGCAAGTTGTGACAGCAGTGATAGCAGTGCTGTGCTGGTATTGCTGGGAATGGCAGGGAGCACTTCCCAGCCTCCTGTGGTCAGAGGAACCAACTCCTGAACAACCCAGTGATTCAGACCTTGATGGCAGCAGCAAACTACATGGGGTAAGAAGAGAACTCCAGGGAGGAAGCAGAAGCTTAAAGGACTACAGTAGATGAGTGTATTTAAATCCTTTTAACGAGGACCAAAAAGAGTAGGCTTGCCACAGATAAGTTTGAAAATTAAGTATACACCAAGAACTTGCAAGATTCAGTCCCTCCAAACAAATGTGAAAGGCTTCAAAAACCTAAAAATCCAGCTTTGACACAACTGCTGAAAATGTCTTTTAAAGAGAAGCCTCTATGAGAGTTTCCAAAACAAAGAGAAAGGCAGCCCAGAGTGTATCCTTGTTACCAGCATCAGCAGATGAATGAGAGAGGAAGGAGAGGGTGAACAGCTGTTTGAAGGGAATGAAATCTTTCACTTTCTGACCACACAGATTAGACAGAAGGAGAAGAGTTGGCTGTTTCACATATCTTGTAGCATTGAGGAGCAACCATCAAAGGGAAACTGCCTTGTGGGATAATGGTTGGGCAAGCAAGAGGATGCAGCAGATAAAGGAAGATGATGCTTACCCAGAGAGACTGAGCCACAAAGAATAAAGATTAGTGCTGGGTATGGCCTCACCTATAGTGAAAATGAAATTGTAACAAGGGAGAAAAGCAGTGCAAAAACCTCAGGAAATCTGGGTTGCTCAAGTGTATTCTTGCAGCAGTGTGCACTGCCTTAATTTCTTACTGAAATTTTGCTGTTGTGATCAAGTTCTGATTTTGTGGTTTCTAGAAGAGGCATTTGCAGCTCAAGTTCTGCAATATTTACACAGGCAAAATTCCCAGTGTTTTAAGGGGTAGGTATGGGCTCTGAAGTCTTACTTTTGACTGGGTGAGGACTTGGAGTCTGCACAATTACCATACTGTAAGTATTAATAGATCCTTCCTAATAGGAAAGTTATTTGAATTTAAGATTGCAGCTTAGTTTCTCTAAGCTCCACATAATCTATTTACTTAGAGCACAGCTTTCATTCTGCACTTACTAATCTCCAACTGTAAAGATTCAAAATGCCACACAACATACAACTTGTTCATGTTGATGGAAATGGCTCTGGAAGTCATGGCATGCTGCATGGAATGCATAAATGTATGTTTAGTGACATTGCAAAGCCAGGATTTGGTCCTGGGAGGCTTCAGACCTCTCCCAACTCTGCCCCATAATGGAGTCCCATGAGTTGGATCCCCTTTTCTGAATGATAAATTTGTGTTTCTTGCCTTCCTTCAGGTTGGTGGTTTCAGATCAGTGGGTTGGGCTGTGAGGATGCTTGACAAAACAACCTTGCTCCATTCAGCTCAGAGCCAAAAAAGAAAGGGTCCTACCCAACCAAGTCACAGGTATGTGCTGTCACTTCTCAGCCATTACCAGCTCCTGAGCTCCATCAAACCTTGCCCCAGAGCCAAATTAGTTTTCTACTGGTCACCTTGTAGAAAAGTACGGAGAAAAACTCCAAAGCTCTGATAGGTCTTCCCGTGACAGTGAGCTGAACAGAAGCAAGGCAGCTCTCACCAGTGCCTGATGGGACACAGGGGATGCTGAGGCTGAGTGGTGGGATGTGAGATGTTTGTGAAATGGGGATGCCCTGGGGCACTTTGCAGCCCAGATAAACCAGACCTGTTTCCCAACACCATGCTGATCAGAGGCCTGAAGGCTGCACCCCTCTCTCCCAGACACAGGCAGGACTAGCTCCACGTATGCCTCCTCCCCTCCCCTCTGACTCAGCCCTAATGCTATGCTCAGCTTTTCACCTCCCCTTCCTCAGGCAACTCGGTTCACTTTTCCTCAATCCCTTTTTGCTGATCAGCTGCTCAGTATTGCTCCACATGCCCAAATGGCAGCACAGGATCCCCCTGGCACTCCTGGGAAATGTGTCCACACCCACCTGAGTTCGGGACACAGCCTACCTTTCCTTCTCCCACCATGATTTCTGGAGCATTATCCCAAGCTCAAGCACCCTGTGTGTATCTCTCTCTGTGAAGACTGAAAGCTTTGGGGTACATGTGGACATTGTAGGAAGGTGGTCAGGGCTCAGGGTGCTCTGCAAGCACTGCAGCTCAGGGAGAGATGGGTGAGTTATCTCTTGGTAAGTATCAGAGATTTTAATTAAATCTGGTTTATAAGAGCGGGCACAATGCCATGCAGGGAGGTTATGTGCCGTTACACCTTGCCCTAAGGACATGCTGACTTGGTCTCCACAATCCTGGAGATTTCTGCACTGTCGAGGATCTGCCTCCCAGCCCTGCAACCCTGGCCAGCCAGTAGCAGGGTTGAAGATGCACAGCTTTGCAGGTGATGCTTCATTTATGCTTTTACATTCATCGTACAAAATTAATCATTGATTCCTAATAGTTAAGGTTTGTAGCACTTCACCAGTTGAAGAGTCAGGAGGTACCATTTTGCCCAGAAGTGGATTCTGAATTGATTTTTATTTTAAAACTTTCCCCTTCTGCAGGAAATACCAACATTTCTGTGCCTTGTCCCAAAGTTGAGCGAAGAATGTAAAGAACTTTGACATTTTCTATGGAAGTGCAAACTGAACTTCCAAACTTCTCATTTGCCTTGCTCATGTGTTTTAAAGGTTTAAAAACCTTTTAAACCAAGGCTGGGGGTTTTGATTTGAGGAAGGGGTAGAAGACAACACTTAATTATATGTAGCTCTAAAGCATGTCTTAAATTTTTAGAGACCTTTCAAACTGTAAAACAAAACAAAATAAACTCAGTTTTGGATATAATCTTCCTTTTCCCTCAGGGTGCCTGAAAAGTGCACAACACAAATCTCATCCTGAACAAAAGTTGCTTGAATTGCCTCTTATCTGAGAAATGCCTAAGAAAATAACTGCTATAAGAAGTGCCGCACAGGGGATTCTTCAACTGCTGGTCCACTTCTTCAAGCCGCCTTGGGAAAAAAAAAGGGAAAACGTTAATTACGTAAGAAAACCCATCCCTCCTCCCAGTGAGTGACAAAGGGACTCATCCCCACCAGGTCCTGGCAGAGCAGGCAGCTCCGGTGCCGCTCTGCCTGGGCTACTTTGGGATTTTAAAGCTTTTTGGACGGAGCCGGCGGGGAGCGGGCGCCGATCCCGGGTGTACGAAGCCGCGGCTCGGACTCCCCCCGTCCGCTCCAGCGATGGTTTTCTTGACCAAAACCTGCGACTTCGGCTCTCGCCGGCAATGAAAAAAGAAAGTGTCATTGGAAGGTGGGGAGCAGAGGAGGGCGGGCTTGATCTATGGAGCCCGCCCCTTTTTAAACAGAGAGTCCCGGCAGCTCTCGTCCACCAGCCCGACGGGGGGAGAGGCGGAAAGCGAGGGAGAGCAGGCAGGCAGGCGG